AAATCTTATTTCACATTTTAATGCTCAGTTTCCCAATATGGGGAATAGACAATAGCATGACAGAGATGCATAGAAGGGACTAAGCAAAGAGGAAAGTGTATTCGCGAAGGCTTTCACGGCCGGGATCTAATGGTTGTTGTGGGTTCTTCGGGGTCTTTGGCCGTGTTCTGAATGTTGTTCTTCCTAACGTTTCGCCAGTCTCTGTGGCCGGCATCTTCAAAGTGTTGTCCTCTGAAGATGCCGGCCGCAGAGACTGGCGACACGTTAGGAAGAACAACCTTCCGAACATGGCCAAAGAGCCCGAAAAACCCACAACAACCAAAGAGGAAAGTGTTGAAACACTCGTTTCTTTTGGTTTAACATTGTTTACATATGATCAGTAGAAAGAAAAAAGATCAAAGTCTGGTTCATTATCTCAGCTTGCTAATAACTGAAATTTACACAAGTGATCCACAAGCTTTGGAGAATGAGGGCCACATTGGGCAGTGGAGCACTTGTCAAGAGTGAAATAAGAAAACTGAGTACAGTATGACAACAGCAAAATTTTACTTCACTTATTATCTCCTTGACCTTAATTCCCTCTGCCCCACTGCCATCCACATTGAAGTTATTTTCATTTATTTCATTCATTTTTCATTCATTTATTTTCTCCTTTATTCTTCTTGCCAACCTATCACTATCACCAATGATCCGTTTATATTTACTGTATTTCATCTATTCTCCACCTTCACTCATTCCCTCTTTACCCATCTCCTATCCCTTAATGCTTAAGAGGCTATTTCAAGTCTGAATGCTTATGTTGGAATTCAGTGCTTATGCCTGTATCCTGGCAGCAGATGAGAAGTCGTCGTAGAACCATCTGATTACAGATTCTGTTATTCAAGATGCCTCACTTTGTGCAAAACAAGAATAGTGGTAGATGATGAGATTGAGCCAGAATGAGCTGAGGTTTTTAGCTGGAGGAGCAGAAAACATCTCCCGTATGGTTGATTGCTTGGCCTTGATCTTGGTTTAGCAATGCTTTTTCTGTGCCACTATGATTGTGTTCACAGCAACCATAAGGTATTTAGGTTATTCACCTGTAATTTATTCTAACCAAATTTTCTCACCAGAAATAATTATGAGCTATTGTTAATGTTTCACAGAAAGCATAGGAATGTAAAAGGAGCCCTTCTGGATCAGACTGAAAACCTATCTGAGGCCAAAATCCTGTTTCCCCAAGTAATCAATCACATAGATGCCTGTCAGAAGTCCACAAGTGTGATAGTTTTCTCATACTGTTATTTTGTAGCCCTGATGTTGGAAGGCATGCTAAGTTTTATTTTTGGATATAGACGTATAGATACTGTACTGTGATGTGTCAGCATTAGAGCTATGTCAGAAATTTGTTCAGTTTGAATGTAGCTTACCTAAATTTATTGAAATATTAATGGAAATGCAGTTGTACACCAACATTCATACTTCTTCTGATCTTTGCAGTACAAATCTCCAATAATAAGCCATACAAACGGCCATATGTTGGGTAAAATTGCTCACAAACATACATTATTGGAAATTATATATAAAAACATATAAGGAAAATATGTGCAGAGAAATATAAATGTCAGTCTAAACATTAGAATATGTACTCAAAAACATGCATTTTTATAAAGCAAAATAAAAGCCAAGTGTGCAGCTTATATAGTGCTCCATAGTGCTTAAAGCACTCTCTGGGTGGTTTACAGTTTAATTATGCAGGCTACACATTTCCCCCCACCCCAGAACGATGGAAGACTGAGTGATTGGACCCAGGACATGAGCAGTTTTGGCTGTAGCACTAGCAAGTTTTGTTCAGTATAAATATTCACAGTCTGCAGCCTGCTTCTTCAGACGCTTTTAAAGAAGTGGCTTTAATAACATTTATGTCAGACAGAACTTGTTAGTCATAACAGTACTCCAGGTCTCATTTTTTTAAAGGCAACAGGCTCACGTGGCCACCACTTTAGATAATTTTTTGTATGGACTTTTTAAAAAATCAAGTAATGCTAGAATAGCTTATAGGGGCTCACATTACTTATACAATTATTTTTTAAGTATTTCAAGATTTTCAGTTTAATGTTAAATGCACGTAAAATACATCCCATAGATGAATGTTCCTTAAAATAATGTTTTATTGGCTGTTAATGAGCTGATTAATCCATCTTAATTAGTTTTAAAATTGAGAGATTTGCCACTGTAAGGTCTTTGAAGAATCAGTTGCATTTATCCAGGCATGTATACACAGTTAGTAAAACTATTTAAAGGAAAATTAGATTTTTCAGCAATTTATCAGAGATAATTACCCTGTGTACACTAGAGAGGAAAAAAGGGATAAAGTGTTTTAAGGAACTGTAATTCTAATTGGTAAATGTCACCAGCTGTTGCAGTTATCTTACTTGTGTATATTCTTCTAATGATTAGAGTTTCATGCCACAAGCTACATGAAAATATATTCACTAGGTGTGAAATTCCCATATGTCACAAATTAGGTAAACATCTTCAAGAAAAATGAAGAAAGCTTGCTAATAGGACTTCTTTTCTCTATGAGTTGACTGTTTTCAGTATTTTTAGCCCTATCTGAAAGCATATTTAGCCTCATTTGAAAGCATCTCTCTGTCTCTGTCTCTCTCCTAACCCAGAACTAAATTTGCAGGAAAGTATTAAGGTGTAATTTGTTGAGAAGAGTAACTCTTCAGCATAAACCTAGGAAATTATTTTTAATTTATGATGTTTATACATAATAGTTTTTGGTTTTTCTTCCTTGCGCAAGATCCTGACAGCACTGATGTGACTAGAGTAGTGTTGAAATATTACTGCACCTTAACTTTCAACATCAGTTATGCTATACAAAACACAAAAGTGGCATTGTTCTTGCTCCAAGAGGATTATGACATAATAAAGATTTTTCAGAAATATCACATCTGTAAAGGAAGTGGGACATACAATGCTCCTGATCTTTTTAGTCATGGGTAAAAGAATAAGCTAGAATATCACCTCCTTTTAGGATAGAAGTCTCAATCCTAAAGAAATGTCATTATATGTATTGCAAGCTATAATGTGAAATACTACTATGGCTGATAGATTGTATTTTGGTTAAAATTAAAAAACTGTTGAAGTTCACAGATAGATATTCTCATTTAAAGGGATAAAAGTCAAATATGACAGGATGACCAAAATCCTGTTGAGTAAAGTACAGGAGCATAAAGGACATGACTAGGGGTGTGCCCTCATGATTTTTCTCTTTTTTAAAACTACAAATCCTAAAATTATCCCAAGAATTCCCAAGACAACATGCTGGTCATTCCAGCTCACAAACACATACCTGCAGATTACTTCATTTCACTCACCCATGCAAGGATTAGGCCTTTATTTGATAAAGGGCAACAAGACTCCCACCACCAAGATGTATTGCAGCAAGAAATAAAGATATACAAGGAGGCCTTGTCTTTGTTCAGGTGAGTAAAATGAAGGTATCTGCAAGTATGTATTTGTGAACTGGAACTCCCAGAATTCTGTCTAGGAAATGCTTGGAGAATTTTAAGAGTTGGAGTTCAAAAAACACAAATGGCACACTCCTACATATGACATCATCTAGCAGGGGAATTGCTATTAATTAAAGAATTCTACTTCCAATCTGAGGCTTGCACAACTTGTGCACAATCAGTCTTATTACAGACAAGCTGTGCGGATTGCAACATGGAAGCAGGAACTTTTTGATTAGCAGCAACTCCCCATACTAGATGACATCATATCCCTTATGCCACCATACTTTACTTCACAGGATTTTGACCATTGCCTTTGAAAATTGTCCCAATAATGTGAACATACTAAAAACCAAAGAGAAAACCCTTGGACAAAGACTTATTTGATTCCTTTCAAACCTTACCAAAAATTGGTTTAAAAAAATTATTGAAAACTGATGGTACTTTTCAGTCTTCAGTTACATATTTGTTGTTTCATTTGACTTCTCAGTATTTCAAATGACACCCACTAAACTTGCTAATCCTGAGTTTGGGGTATGTAATGAATTGATATTGTGCGTGAAGTATGCAATGAAATATCACTTCTAGGTTCTGGAGAAAAGCATCGGAAGACACAAATTGTAATATCCAAATATGAAAATGTTTATAGTATATCTGTGAAAGAAATAAAAATCATGCCACAATTTTTCATGCTCCCTCAATCAATCCTGCCCACTGAGAAAGAAGCAACTAACAATTTTTCTCTGTTGACTTCCTCGTCCTCTCACCCATGACTTCTCTGCCCCCTTAGGAAACTCAGCATTGTGGGAGAAAACACTAAAGTGAGGGCAAAACAGCCTGATGCTGTTGTACTGAGACATAAATAACTCTCACATGTACGTAGGCTGCATCATTTATTTAACATCAAACCTCTTCTTAGTAGGTAGAGTAATTTTCGTGTTGCTGACACTGTTTGAGTGAGCTCAGTTTATGTATTCTGTTTCTCCATGCATATATTTCCCAGGGAAAAAAACAATGCTGTGGTGGACAATCAGAATAGTTTCCCCACATTCCTGTTTAAATTTGTGGGACAATTGTTGACTTTGGGTAATAGGGTTGTCTGCCTCATATTTTCATCATTCCCTTTCTGGAATTTCAGATTCAGAATGTCAAGGTTTCCTCAAAAGTTACAGTGTGCCTCTGCCTGTGACAAATTCACTTATGCCCTTCATAGAAAACTCATTTCCCTCAGATTGTCACCCTACTGGCAGAACAGGGTACTGGAGCTTTTCAGAGTGAGATTCTAATGAAACAATCCCATGAAACAGTCTTGAGTTTTCTTGAAGGTTCCGTTCCCAACTATGTCATGAATTAACCAGATGCAAACTATGATTGATTCCAGGACTGGCATAAGAGGGGCAGGGAAGGAGGGTGAACATTCAAAATTTACTGTGTCTTTTCTTGACTTGTAATGTTTCCATCTTTTGTTTTCATATCCATGCTATGCTACTATACATCCAGACTGCAGACCACAACTGTGTATGTATGGATGAGTAAATCTAATGGACTTTAATGTATTTTTTTCATACTCTCACGCATGAAACTTTCCATGCTTATACAAGCCTATTCATTCATAGATAATGTATCTTCCCTATCCACCCACCCATCCACTATTGTGCACTGGTATTTTTTTCTGTATTATTGCCTCATGTTTGTCAGCACCTGCAAAATGCACATCTGGAAAGAAATATCTGTATCAACGATGCTTGAAACATATATTATTATTATTATTATTATTATTATTATTATTATTATTATTATTATTATTATTATTATTATTATTATTATTATTATTATTATTNNTATTATTAATGTTGCAAACAATAATTTGAAAATAGCCAGAGTCAGCTTCTGTTACAAGAAGTGGACTCTATGTTCATTAAAACTTATGAATAAATCTGCTCTGAATTTTGGATGAGAACAATAATGTTTATATGTTTGCATGTTTTTACTTACAGTATATGTATTAGTTTGTGTATGAAAAATAAGATTGTCTAACACTGCAAGTTATACCTCTGTGGTCTGTTCCCCTCTTCTCTCCACCTCCCACTTTTTCTCATAGAAACCAGGAATGGACCTAGCTGACACTTACATCATGTTTGTTCGTCAGAATCAAGATATACTTCGCGATAAGGTCAATGAAGAAATGTACATTGAAAAATTGTTCGATGTAAGTAGTTGCTTCACTAGAACGTGCTAGGAAATATATTTCAATATTATGAGCTCTCTTTCAATGAAGTTGCAAAGGTACTTGTTTCTGTGGTTAATTAGTTATTGCTGCCTTTAGAAACCAACGTTGATGCTACAGATTATTCCATATTCAAGGAAGATATTTGATGGAAAATGAATCAGTCTAAAACAGTGTTTCTCACCTGGGGGTGATGACCCCAAGAGGATCACAAAGTGTTTTCTGAAGGGTCATGGATCGCCTTACATGTGTTGTAGCCCTTGTTAAATAATTTCTTACTTGACCTTTGAGAGTGGGATATTAAAGTTACTGGGTATGCAAATATATGAGAAACAGGCCCTTTGTGGGGAAAAGAAACCTCTATTTTCTGAGAAGGGATAACTTTATCCCCTTAAAAATGCCTTTTTAACGTGGCAGGGGGTTACTTGGCTGTAATAAAAAGGGGCCATGACTCGAAGAGCAATAGGAACCACTGTATTAGAGCTTATACTGTCATTGTAAATTCATCTTACTTTTTTTTTTAAAAGTATACATTTCTGTTGTACAAAAACTGATGGTGTAAGTTGCTCCATATATGTGACACAAGTAGGAAAGTTCAGATTATATTCTCTGTCAGATGTTATCCCTTCTGATAGCAGGTAGCTTGGTGAGTGGCACTTTATTAATACTTATTTCTGTGTAGCAGCTGGAATATCTCTTATGGTACAGAGGTTAATAATTTCCATTTTTTCAAACTATTTGGCTTCTATACTCATATCTATCTGTTTCTGTGGTACCTCCGGCACTACGTATATATATATATTGAGGGTGAGGATAAAATCCTCAGTTTCCTTCCATGTCTGAAACTGCCACTGTACTACATCCTGACACTCTTCTGGTGCAGTGTATTCACTTAGAGGATAATAATTATTTCAAGTGATACCAGATTGACAACCGTAGGGAGTGGGAGAGGGCAGAGTGGAGGCCCAACCCCTCCAAATATCTTTTTGTTCTTCATTGTCGTCTGTGTAAATCACACATATGGATGTTTCTGTATGTGCACAAAACCTCATCGGAACATTCTACAGCTCAGCGAAAAAAGACCATTAGGGCAGGCCCTCCCTCACTGTGCATTACTCTGTGCCTAACAATTAGATCGCAGTTCCCTTCAGCTGCCTTCCTCCTTAAGCACTTCCAACCCAACTTCACAATTGTGGAGGCATCCCAAGCAAAAACTAGAGGATGCCGCAGTGGCACTCCCAACTAATAATGGCCACAAAATGGATGTTCCAGGAATTAAGAATGTGTGCCTCTGCAACTCTCAGCATAAGCATAGCATATCAGAGTGCTATGGGGCTTACCAGTGGTTCTTCTGGTAAAAGATGCAACTGCTTATCAATAGTCTTCCAAAGGACAAGAAAATCCTAGTTCAGACTTTTCAATTGGAGGCCATGTCTCTCCAAACGACAAAAGATCTTGGTTCCACATGCAGTCGAATTCACATCAAAAACCCATGTTGGTGGCAGTGACCCTCAAATAATTCCCTTGGCTTAGATCAGCCATCTTATCAGAAGACATCATATCTAGGATAGAGGACCTCCCCTTTGATAGGCAAGGTCTGTTCAGCAACAGCAAAACTAGCAACATCAAGGAAAACCTACGCAAGAGGAGCAATGCTGCCAAATGAATGAGTTTTTATACACCATATCATCAAAAGTAATACTGGCAGTATGGAAAACACCCTATTCACAGTTCTCAAGATTCTCCACCACCACCAATCTCTCAGTACTACAGGCAGCAATCCTAATGCCAAAAATATAAACAACCATCTAGCTCTAAATGTCACAACAAAAAGTTTATGCATGTTTGACTCCTTCCAGGCTGAGATCCACTTACAATTGATTTCTGCCACACAACATACTACCACCTCACTGGCACCACTCCTTTCCACCCGACACACTGTCACCAATGATGGATGAATATCACTGAACACAGTTATGCCATAGAGCAGTGACGGCGAACCTGTGGCATGCTTGCCACAGCTGGCACACAGAGCCTTTTCTGCCGGCACATGAGCCATAAGTCGCCGGATTGCTACTCCCCCACTCCTCCCCCCCCACAGCCAAACCTGAGCATGCAGCTGCAGTGCTTGTGTTCAGACAGGTGGCAGGTCAGGATCCAGAACTGGTGGTGGTGGTGGCAGATCCAGAGTGGGGTCTCGAGGCACCTCGGTCCCCAGGATTTCCCCTTCCGCCACCACTTCCAGTTCCACCTATTCCACTGGAACAGCTTCCCAACCAGTTCTACTCCCACTGCTTCACAGTCCCAAAGAAGAATGGTGGTCTCACACTAATTCTAGACCTGAGAGATATAAATTCCTACATACACACCAAAAATTCAGAATGGTGATGCTGGAAACAATATTGCCATTCCTCAGAAGAGAAGACTGGTTTGCTGTGATCAACCTAGAAGATGCTATTTCCATATTACCATCAGCCCAGACCACCATCACTTTCTACATACACTCTTCACCACAACCTTCTTACAGTTTCACAAAGAAAATACTTTACATGTCCTTTGTACCTAAGATTTTCACCTCAGTCACTTGTCCTCCCCTTTCTTTCCATCACTTATGACAAAATTAGAAAAAGAAGTTCATACCTTGAATGTTCATAGAACCCTCGCAGTCTATACCTGCAGAACCAAACACTTCAAAATGTCAGATTATTTATCAGCTACCAAGATTCTAAGCTTGCTCAACGCATTACCTTCCAAAGAATATCAACATGGCTTGTGAATATGATCAAGTCAATTCAGTCCTATTAGTTAACAAAGATACCAGTACCTGACTCACCGAAAGAACACTCTACTAGGTCTGTCATGACCTCCACAGCTTTTCTTAAAGGTATTTAGTTAAGTGACATCTGCAAAGCAGTGACCTTGTCCCAACCCTCAACAGTGATTAAACACTATAGGTTGGACCTCGGGGCCAAGCTTGATGTGGCATTTAGAAGAGCATCATCTCATCTGTCCTCGTGTGACATTCCACCAATCAGTAAGTGATGTTGCTAGTCACCTATATGTGTGATTCACAGATACCACAACAAATAGATTACAGTATTTGATTAAATAATCTATCTGTTGTATTTAGTCTATTTGTTCTATGGGTATACATATTCTATGTATACCCACAGAATATGAAATCATGTTCTCCACCCTGACATCCTCAAAGGAAACTTCTAATCAGTAGTTATTTGTTACTGCTGATGACATCATCACCTCTGTGCATGAGGAGCAGCATAACAGGATTTGGGGCTGTATGTATTTACAGCATTGAATCCACCAAAATAATGGTAAAGCACAGATTCCCCATATTCTCTCTGTGAGAGATGTCTCCTGCCTTGCAGCAGTTTACTACAGACCATTTCAATACCAAATACCAAATTTTAATCTTGTTATTATTGGCCATGGAATGTATTTATTTGCTTTCACCATTCTGCAGCATTTTTAGAAAGCTTTTGCTGGCAGTTTCCTTTAATTATGCAAGTTTTTGCAAATGTTTTCATAACAGCAATTGACAGCCTTGGCTGTGTCACTTCGCTTGTGGTAGTCGCAGAAGGTCTTGCCACACAAATACTCCCTGCCATGGATATGTCATGTCAGTTGTTTTGTTGTTTGTCATCTTGGCTGCTAAGAAGAAGTCTCGTCACTCAGGCTTCCTCCTTACAGGCACTTGCAGGCAGTTTCACTTTTTTTTTTTAAATAAGTGTCATCTGTTTTAAGAAGCCAATGTGTGAAAAGATTCCCGGTCTGTGTCTGTCTCTTTCTTTCTCTTTTTTGGCAAAAGATTTGATGTCTTGGAGGGAAAAGAAAATCCATCCATCCAGCTGGCATTTTTACAAACTACCCGAGCCATATTAGCAACTTTACATCCGTTTGGTGTCACAACTGGAATTGCAAGCATATGCTTGATTTCCCAAGGTGTTTTTCTTCTCCACCATTTGCACTGTAATTTTTTCCCCTAATGTTTAAAAGTGCCATGTATAAATTACATCCAGTTTGATGGGAAGCTTGCTCGTTATTTTAATAGCCAAATGGGCTAGAATCTTAGAACACATTGTTGTGGGATCTGGAGCACACAGACTTCATTGTATACTTTTATTTTTTTAAAAAAAACTTTTGTCTTTTTTAAAAAGCATAGAAATAATCTTGTCTTTGGTAACTGTTAAAATTAAGGTTCTGTTGTTTGTAATCTATGGAATATATGTCTAAATCTCTGTCCTCTTACTAAGCAGTTATTCAAACCATTTAATGAACTGTTTGGATCAATATACTGTACAGAATGAGACCTAGGTAAAGGTAAAATTGCCATGTACTGTCTATTAGGCTTATTTGTAAATGTTAGAACATAGCTGTTCTGGAATTAGTGGCTTTGCTTTGTATTATTTTAGCAACTACCATGTGTTGTTGTTAACCAGATTTTTTTATATATGGCTGTTGAAGTCAACGGGCTAAATTTCTGTCGGCGTGGGGCCAGAACTCTGGAGTGTAAACAAGGCACAGGCCTCTAGAAAAGTTCCTAGAGTCTGGTTAAATCCCACTATAACGTTAACAGAAGCAGGAGACTGAGTGAAAGAATGATTTAGAGCAGTGGTTCTTAACCTTTGTTATTCAAGTGTTTCTGAACTGCAACTCCCAGAAACCCCAGCTAGCAGAGCTGATGGTGAAGGCTTCTGGGAGTTGCAGTCTGAGTAACAAAGGTTAAGAACCAGTGATTTAGAGGTTCAGACGTGTGGAGAAACAACATGAGAGTGTTCTTAGTACTTAGAATATATTATATTGATTATGGCATAACATATTTACATATATACAGAGTAAGGAAGCATTTGGCATAGTAACATGGTAACATTCAGAGCATTGACATGGAAAGTATATGACCACCAGACTTACAACTGAGTAGTAACGTCTGTTCTGTCTCAGCCACATTTATACTGAGAACATCC